GCACTTGCTTCGGGAAGCCTTGAGAAAAATTTGCCATTGCGATGCGAGGCTGGGTCTAGGTAGAAGCTGAATCAGATGATTAATGACTGTACTTATAGAATTTCGGAGATGACATAATTAGTCATTTTTTTTTCTTTTGCAGCGTGAGGTCATCTCAATTCATGTTGGTCAAGCTGGAGTGCAAATCGGAAATGCATGCTGGGAGCTGTATTGCCTGGAACATGGAATACAGCCTGATGGTCGCATGCCATCCGACAAGCAGACGCAGGTTTTCGCGCGCCGACAACATTCCGACACAGTGACTGAGCATGCCCTTCAGGATGATACCTCCTTTTCCACATTTTTCTCGGAAACTGGAGCTGGCCGCCATGTTCCACGAGCTATAATGGTTGATTTAGAGCCCACAGTAATTGGTTGGTGTTAATCGTCATATAGTTTCTTTTTATTGCACGAAGTCATTTTTGATGCCACTACAAAACGGTAATCTTAAATTGAAGTGATTGAAGTTAGTGCACAGATTTAGTCAGTTAGTTTTACTTAGTTGTAGTTTAGTAAATTGTTCTGTTTTTTCGCGGCAAGAACTTTTACACTTAAAGCCCCTCCAAATAATTAAGTGTAGCTGCACACACTGCATGTCCAGTGTTTTCTTTTTTTTTGTGTGGGTGTTTCACTTTGTTTTGCTTCTGTTGTGAAATTCGGCAGTTTTTAATGGTGCTCAAGTATCAGCTGTAGTTTCCCATATCTGTCGGTTAAGGTGTTGTTGACACAATGAGCCGGGTCAAGAACATAGCCAGAGGATATGTACATTTTTGTAGCGGCGATAATAGGAAGAGTGATCACATCTAGCCTTTGGACTGAGATTATAATGAGCCGACTTACTCTCTAATGAAAAGAAGAAAAATCGTGTAGAAAAATCTTACACTGACTTGACCTGAATGAACCTGCAAGTTCCGAAGCACTTTGTTAGATTTTACGACAGAGATATGGAGTAGGTGAAGTCTTCTGCAGAAAGTTGAAAGATGTTTCGCAACACGTCTTTTTTGGCTAACCAGTAGTCGTCATTCAAATATTTATGGAAGTGTTCTCGTCCACGCGTTGAACACGAAGTAATGCATACGAAATGAAAATTATTTCGCCATTGTTGAATTGCTTTTTATTGATAATTCTTGTATGCAACGAGTCTTACTGGATCTTG